GAGTCACTGGCGGTGCGATTCCCATCCAACGCAGGCATCGTGAGGTGAAAGGGGGCTGTTAACATTACCACTGGGCTGGGCCAGGCGTGGGTGGCTCACTGCTTTGTAATTCCCAGAACTTTTGAAGGCCGAGGGTGGTGCGTGGATCACCTGAGTCAGGAGTTCGAGACAGCCTGGCAACGTGGTGAAACCCGTCCTCTACAAAAATACAAAAAATTACCCAGGCGTGGTGGTGGGTGCCTGTAATACCAGCTACTCGGGAGGCTGAGGCAGGAGAATTGCTTGAACTGGGAGGTGGAGGTTGCAGTGAGCCGAGATCATGCCATTGCACCTAGTGCCGCCCATGGCAGAGCGGAGACTCTTTCTCAAAAAAAACAAAAACAAAAACAACAAAAAAAAAACAATCACCCTGGGACGCAATCGTGTCCTCTGGGACTGCCCTGGACAAACCAGGCTGGCCACCACACTTATGGGTGTACTTGAATCTTAAATGGTCTTGCTTTGATGGGGAGCTGCCAGTGTGCTGAGGATGCGGCCCTCTTCGGCCGTCTTGTGGATGTTTGTATTCGCGCTGTGTGGCTGGCTTCGCAGATAGCAGGTACTTCAGTTCTCATTGGTGCAGAATGGTGTCTGGCTCATGCTTGATCATCTCTCTCCTGTTTTCTCTTTTTCGCGGGGTGTGTTGTTGTTGTGTCTGAGGAGGGCGGTAACCGCAGCTATTTTAATTGGACTGAGTACTGCCATCATGCGAGAAATGACATCGCGGAAAGTAAGGAACTCCGAGCAGACATGCTGGAATGAGGCCCGTATTCTCATTCAGACACTCGGCAGGCTGTGTCGCTAGGCAATCTCAGCTCGATAGAAGCGAGGACATTTAACATATGTGTAGAAACGCACGCCCACTCTCAGTTAATAGGACACTAGACTGTCTGTCCTAGCAATTGACATGTCTACCTTCGAGACATTGGGTGGATGGGAAAGGCCTAGAAGTGCCGTATATACGGATGGACAAAGTACAGTTGAGTCGGCTTGGAAAGTAGGCTGATGTGCTTAAGTCATTCGTTGCATATTTAATGCTGTGGGCAAGAAAGGATGTTGCCAGGAGATCAATGCGTTACTCTATAGTGTGCTGAGAGATACGCGACCACTGACGGTCCAGCATGAAGCACGCGCACGCGCTCCACTGGTTGGTTCCAGATTTTATGGCGTTATTTCTAGAAAACAAGAGTATTTCTCACTCTTGGGGCTCCATTCCTTTTTGTTTTTTAAACTGTTGTGCATGTTTTTTCTTCTTTTTAGTGATGTTCTCGATAATATTAAGACGACAAGATAAGAACAAACGAAATGAGCTAAACACTCACTGTGAGACAGCAGCGACATTGATGTTCCCCTCTGTAGGACTCACTGCCTCTTTGTGCTGATTGCAACAGGGGCAATAACGCGGTTGATACCTATTTAATGCAGACATGTGTCGAACACTATATATGATGATGATACTTATGGCCCATAGAGTCTTTGTGGCCCTCGCGATGATGCCATGGGACGGCTTGGCAAAACTGGCGCCCCTCTTCAACTTATTTTCAAAATATTCAGCACATATTGCGCGAGGAAGAGAGCTGTTATAGGCATGGTGTGATCTCAGTGTATGAGCTACGAGTGAAAGTGCTTAAATAGCCGAGCTGGGAACGTTGGGCCACATTACGCAGCTCGCACGTTCTCAATTCCCAGGTGCACCTGTGTTCTCTTATTCAGACTAATGGCAGAATAAATATAAAAGCATAGACTCATAGGTGTGGCTATGCTTTACTTTAGTGTTAGCGATTGCATGTGTCATTCGCAAGCTCCTATGATGTGTTTAGATTCGCAGTCTCACAAGTGTGATGTAGAGCATACGAGGGTGTTGTGAGTTTTCTGTTGAGCAGAGAAACTACGCTTTGATTCATAGGGGAACACCTAGTTACAGCGCGCGGAGATTATCGCTCACGTGGGACGTCAGAAGATGGACTGCCCAGCTCGCACGATACTTCAGATCGTCCAGCGCTTCGCCGTAGTTATGGGAGAGACAAACAACCTGAATGAACGCGCGCACGCTCCTCGCCCTAGGACATCAAAAAGGGATATTTCGCAAACAATAGGTGCCTGCTTGGGGGGTGTCTCATGATTGTTCTTAGAAATAAGTCTCGCCCAGTATATTTAGTCCTCTCTCTGCCAATGCCTATTGCTTCCACAACTTCTCTCCACACAATTCGTCTGTCTTTGTCCTATCGTATTCCTCTACCTTCCCTATTTTAATCCTGTATTTTAATTATGTTTTTTTATTTTTTGTTTTAAATAATCTCAATTATAGAGAACCTGGATGATGTTTCAGCTTATAGAATGTGTCGCGGCTTGCTGCCGATCGAGGTGTAAGTTCTGAAGAGCCACTGCACTCCAGCCTGGCAACAGAGCAAGACTCTGTCTCAAAAAAACAAAAACAAACAAACAAAAACACTGGACAATTGTGTCCCCTGGGACTGCCCTGGACAAACCAGGACCCTTGGCCACCACACTTATGGGTGACTTAAAACCTGGTTCTGGCCGGGCATGGCGGCTCACTCCTATAATCCCAGCACTTTGGGAGGCCAAGGCAGGTGGATCACTTGAGGTCAGGAGTTCAAAACCAGTGTGGCCAACATGGTGAAACCCCGTCTCTACTAAAAATACAAAAAAATTAGTTGGGCATGGTGGTGCGCACCTGTAATCCCAGCTACTTGGGAGGCTGAGGTGGGAGAATCGCTTGAACCCAGGAGGCGGAGATTGCAGTGAGTCAAGATCATGCCACTGCACTTCAGCCTCGGCGACAGAACGAGACTCTATCTCAAAAAACAAAACAAAACAAAGCCTGGTGTTATGATTTAAGCCGATTTCTTCTCCTTCACCTTCTGCTCCCAATTCTCCCCCCACTGTCTTTTTCCTATTCCTCCTTCCTTCCATTTATTTATTTATTTGTTTATTTGTTTATTTAGAGACAGAGTCTCGCTCTGCCGTCCAGGCTGGAGTGCAGTGGCGTGAGCTTGGCTCACTGCAACCTCTGCCTCCCAGGTTCAAGGGATTCTCCTGCCTCAGCATCCCGAGTAGCTGGGATTACAGGTGCCTGCCACCACCACACCTGGCTAATTTTTTGTATATTTAGTAGAGATGGGTTTCACCGGGTTAGGCAGGATGGTCTCGATCTCCTGACCTCGTGATCCGCCAGCCTCAGCCTCCCAAAGTGCTGGGATTACAGGTGTGAGCCACCGCGCCTGGCTACTTTTTATTTATTTATTTATTTATTTTTGAGATGGAGTCTCGCTCTGTCACCCAGGCTGGAGTGCAGTGGCATGAACTCGGCTCACTGCAACCTCCGCCTCCCAGGTTCAAGTGATTCTCCTGCCTCAGCCTCCCGAGTGGCTGGGATTATAGGCTCCCGCCACCACGTCCGGCTAATTGTTGTATTTTTAGTAACGATGGGTCTCGCCATGTTGGCCTTGTGATCTACTTGCCTTGGCTTCCCAAACTGCTGGGATTACAGGCGTGAGCCACCACATCAGGCCTACTTTTTATTTTTTTATTTAATTTTTTTTACTTTGAGACGAAGCCTCGCTCTGTTGCCCAGGCTGGAGTGCAGTGGTGCAGTCTTGGCTTACTACAGCCTCGACTTCCCAGGTTCAAGCGATCCTCCCACCTCAGCCTCTTGTGTAGCTGGGACTACAGGAAGTGCACCACCACACCTGGCTGGTCTTGAACTCCTGACCTCAAGCGATCCACCTGCCTTGGCCTCCCAAAGTGCTAGTGTTACAAGTGTGAGTCACCAGACCCAGCCACACACCTGGCTAATCTTTTTTGTAGAGATGAGGTCTCACTATGTTGCCCAGACTGGTCTTCAACTCCTGGCTTCAAGCAATCCTCCTGCCTTGGCCTCCCAAAGTGCTGGGATTACAGGAGTGAGCCACCACTCCTGGCACATTAGAGGAATTCCAAATAAACAGAAATGCACTCACCATCTCATCCATTTCCAGCCAAATGTCTGCACTTGCTCCCCTAACCCTCCCGCCACGCAGTTTCCATGGGATCCTTGTAGTTCGGATTTGATCGGGCACCTCTTTTTATTTTTTATTTATTTTTATTTTTGAGACAGAGTCTCACTCTGTCACCCAGGCTGGAGTGCAGTGGCTCAGTCTTGGCTCACTGCAACCTCCACCTCCTGGGTTCAAATTATTTTCATGCCTCAGCCTCCCCAGTAGCTGGAACTACAGGCATGTACCACCACACCTGGCTTTTTTTTTTATTGGGCACCTCTTTCACAGAGCCACGGGGCATGCAGTTAATCCTGAGAGCCCCCAGGTGCATGAGCTTTGTCCTCCAAGCTTTACTGCGGAGGAAGCAAGGCTCGGAGAGGGTGACACAGGAGGTGCCTACAGTCACCCGGTGGCATGAGCGGTGCTGGGGCTAGAGGCCAGGCTGGCTGCAGAGTCCTGCACTTGGTCACTCTGAGCCTGCAGCAGGTGTTTGCTGATTCTAATTTTTTGTATATTTAGTAGAGATGGGGTTTCACCGTGTTAGACAGGATGGTCTCGAGCTCCTGACCTTGTGATCCGCCCGCCTCGGCCTCCCAAAGTGCTGGGATTACAGGCGCTCACCCCCCCACCATGCCAGGTTAATTTTTTGTATTTTTAGTAGAGATGGGGTTTTGCCATGTTGGCCAAGCTGGTCTTGAACTCCCGGTCTCAAGTGATCTGCCCACCTCAGCCTCCCAAAGTGCTGGGATTGCAGGCATGAGCCACTGCATCCAGCCACATAGCTCCATTTTTATGCCCATGTCTATGCATAATTCACTTGGGGCCAGGAGGGGCTGTGGAAGTGGAGGTGCCAGGAGGGGTGGTGGAAGTGGAGGTGCCAGGATGCCCAGCCCCCGGCGTGGCTTGCACTCTCACCCCCTCTGTCCTGGCTGTAGCTGGGAGCGGGAGAAGACCCAGCCCCGCACCCAAAGGGACAGGGGCGAGCTGGAGAAGGGTGAGGAACCAGCGGAGGCTGATGCCGACGGGGATGAGGGCGAGGCCTCGGAGCCGCACGAGGTGGTGCTGGCCAGAGAGGAGGTCAACCTGCTGTTAGCCGAGCAGCGGAAGACTGCGGCCCTCAAGGTGGGGGAGCAGGCTGTGTGTGGTCACAGTCACGACAGTGATGACCACAGTGATAAGAGTCGCTAACACTTATTAACTGCCGACCCTGTGGGCTCTGGGTGAACTTGCTTTTATTTATTTTAGAGATGGGGGGGGTCTCATTATATTGCCCAGGATTGTCTTGAACTCCTGGCCTCAAGCAATCCTCCTATCTCAGCCTCCCAAGATGCTGGGATTACAGGCTTGAGCCACTGTACATGGGCTGGCTTTTTTTTTTTTTTTTTGAGACGGAGTTTCGCTCTCGTTGCCCAGGCTGGAGTGCAATGGCTCAATCTTGGCTGACCGCAACCTCCAACTCCTGGGTTCAAGTGATTCTCCAGCCTCAGTCCCACGAGTAGCTGGGATTACAGATGCCCACCACCATGCCCAGCTAATTTTTGTATTTTTTAGTAGAGATGGGGTTTCACCATGTTGGCCAGGCTGGTCTCGAACTTCTGACCTCAGGTGATCTTCCTGCCTTGGCCTCCCAAAGTGCTGGGATTACAGGCGTGAGCCACCGTGCCTGGCTGGTCTGGCAATTAAACAAAAAATTACTGGTAGAGACAGTGTCTCCCTGTGTTGCCCAGGCTGGTCTCGAACTCCTGAGCTCAAGCGATCCTCCTGCCTTGGCCTCCCAGAGTGCTGGGATTACAGGTGTGAGCACCGCGTCTGGCCACTGGGTGAACTTTAGCTCATCCCATGCAGTAGGGCTGATCAGGACCATTTTACAGATGAGAAAACTGAGGCTGGGAGAGGTGAGGTAACTTGTCCCAAATCTGCAGGGGGCAGGAAGAACAGCGCTGGGACTTGACCTAGGTCTGACTCCCAAGCCCGTGTCCCTTCATGTTGGAGTTACAGTGACACCGGGGGCAGCGGGGAGCAGAGCAGGGCTGGAGTTCGGTGACCACCAAAGTGGGTTATGAGTAGGGGTGTGGGGTCCACCACACCCCCAGGCCTGCCTTGCCTTCTGTGGATGATGTATGAACGGCAGCCTCCAGCTTCCATGAGATCCCTCTGGAGTAACCCCCGGAGAGCTAGGGCTTGATGGCTTACAGCATGGGTTCTGTCTTGCCTGGCCCACCCCAGTTCTGGTCTTGGGCACATCCTAGGAGGACTAGGGACATGGCCAGAAGGAAGCCCACACCTGAGCTTCCTCTCTGGGGAAGGACGTCTCTTCACACGTTTTTTGTTTTCTTTTTCTTTTTTTTTAATTGGGATGGAGTCTCCTCTGTCCATCCAGGGGCCTGGAGTGTAGTGGGACCACGATCTGGCTCATTGCAACTCCTGGGCTCCGGTTCAAGCCGATTCTCCGTCTCAAGCCCCTGAAGGACTGGGATTACCAGGCATCCACACCCACCGCCCGGCTAATTTTTTTTTTTGTATTTTTAGTAGCGAGCAGGTTTCTCCATGTTGGCCAGACGGGTCTGGAATGCCGCCCTGACCGTTGGACTACCGGCCTCGCCCTACCAAAGTCCTGGATTACAGCGGCGTGAGTCATTGCCGCCCCCGGCCACCGCTTTTGGGTTTTCTGAACGAGCCTAAATGTTGATACTAGCCTAATTATTAGGATCGACAACCTGGTTTATCTAACAGTCCCCTCACTCCCAGAAAAATGACAGAATGGGCACATGATTGGAGAAACTTAGGGGAAACGCTGTGGCGGGAAGCGCCATGGGAAGAATGGCGGTCTTTTCTTTTTCATCCAAAAGCGCCCGCCCATTTTATTCACCCACCTGTTGCCAGCGTTTTTTATGTTTCTTTCTTAAGACGGCGCACGTGCAAAAAGTATGGAATGCATGTCCATGTTTTAAAAGCAGCGGTGGCATCTATTTCACCTGGAAAGCTGTTTGGTAGCCAAAGCCAGCTTAATATTGTTTGCCCAATCCTTGCCCCCCCATTCCCAAGCCCAAAAACATTTCTGGCGGGAGGAATGAACAATGGGTGGGAAAATTTCAAATTTCAAAGTCTTCCTGACCTTTTAAAAAAATTTTTTAGGGCCAGACATTGGTGGGCTGACGGCTGTAATCCCAGCCAGAGTCTTTGGGAGGCTCAGACAAGGCAGATCACTTGAGGGTCAAGGAAGTTTGAAGACCAGCCTGGACCAACATGGTGAAAACCCCATCTCCTACTGAAATAACAAAAATTAGCTGGGTGTAGGTGCACATGCCTGTAATCCCTCAGCACTCGTGAGACTGTAGGCAGGAAGAATCGCTTTGAATCCGCAGGAGTCAGAGGTGGCAGTGAAGTCAAGAATGGCGCGCCGACC